TGTATTTTCTTCTTCTCTCTCCAGGATGTCTATAATTCTTATTTTTGGTTTCTTTACATACTGCAACATTTTTGTATGTTTTGTTTGTGTCTCTTGCTTCTGTGTTCTTTTTCTTCATCTGATTTGTTTGGCACATAGGCATTAGCTTCAAGCTCTGACATTCTTTCCTCTGTGTGATCCAACCTATTCTTAAGGCTTTCTACTGTGTTTTGTAGTTCCTTGACTACCTCTTTCATTTCTATTTCTGTTCAGTTTTTTCATAATACTTCAATTTATTTAGAAAATTTTTCATTCATTTCCTGCACTGTTCTAATGGCTTCTTTGTGTTGGGTTTCTATTTTCTCTTCAATTCCATTGAGTTTTCTTATCCATATTTGGAATTCTTCCTCTGTCATTTTAATCATTTTGTTTAAGTTGGTATCTGCCATTGAGGATCTAATGATTTCTTTGGGAGGGTAACTTTTCTCTCTGATTTTTCATTTTTCCTGCATTCTTTTGCTGATTCTTTCTCATCAGGCTTCTTGGTTGAGAAATGGGAGTGGTAGAACTGGTTTATGGCCCTATCTCAAAGTCCCCAAGGGTCATTCCTTGACAGTGCTGGGGAGAGGCACACTGGTCCTGTGTTGCCTTAGGGGTATTTTAGCAAGTTGGATTACATCTAACCTGTTGTCTTCACCTCTTTCCAATAGAGACAGTGAGTTTCCTCCCCCAGCTTCAGCTCCCAGCTGGTGGATTACACTTATGTGTATGACTCCACTGCCCTCTAATAGCTTGAGATGGAAGGCACTGTGTAAAGCTATGGGGTTACACTCTCTGTTGTTGATTGTAGTTTGTGTGGAGGAGCCAGTTATCGAGGTGATCTGATGCCTCTGTGGTATGCTCTGGTCTCCTGGTTAGGGTATATGAATGCCCCGATATTGGGGGGGGGCCTTGCCACTCCCGTGGGTTGCTTGGACCCTTCCCCTTTAAGGTGGGGGGTAGGGGCAAGATAGATCTCAGCTGGTTCCTCCTGCAAGCCTCGGTGTGTGTGGTTGCTTGATCTGCTGCTAGCGGGAGCTGCTAATATGGTATTCAGGGGTCTTTGACTGCACTTGGAGGGCTGCTCCTGATGGGAGGGTTTGATTGATGTAATTGCCAGGACTTTGGCCAGGTTTTTCCTTCCCTGTCCACAAATCCCAATGCTGGTGGCCACCTGGAGGGCAAGCCCTGGAGTTATGTTCTTATTAGATGACCTAACCAGGTCCAACGGGTAGAATCAATAGGCCTCTATTTTTCAGCACCAAAGTCCTGCAGATTCACACCAGTCCCACAGAGAAAGCAGCTTTTCTGGCTTCTCTGTACCTCCAAAGGCAGAAGCTGCAAGATTCCCAGGCTGGAAGAGGAGTGTTGCCCAAAACCTCTGCGTGCAGCTGTGTTTCTGAGCTGGGGACCCCAAACATTGTGGCCACCCCACCCCTGGGGAACTAGTATTAGGGGCGAGGACTCAAGAGTCCCCAGCTGTCACTGGTCTGGTGAGTGGAATCAACAGGTTACCTATTGTTTTTCAGCACCAAAGTCCTATAGATTCACACCAGCTGCATCGAGAAAGCAGCTTTTCTTGTTTCTCCCCACCTCCAAGGGCAGAGTCTACCCCACCTGGCATGACAGTCCCAAGGCTGGGGGAAGGGTGCTGCCCAAAACCTCCATGTGCAGTGACGTCTCTGGGCTGGGGACCCCAAAGATGGAGGCTGCTGCCCCTGGAGAGCTAGCATTGGGGACGGCCACTCAAGAATTGGCAAAGGCAGGTCCGGTGGGCTAAATCAACAGGCCGCCAGCTGTCACCTCTGTATCACAGTCCCACAGGCTGTCTGGCCCTGCTCTTTTTGTCCCACCCTGAGTCGCCAGAATCACCGGCAGTGTCCAGGGGCAGAGCCCCCTTTTAGCGTTCGTCTCCTGTGCCCTGGTCCCACTGCCCACCAGAGGTGAGGTGTCTGTCTCCACACTCCCTCACATGGTCATGGTCACAGGGAGGGCCCACTCAGACCAGTCCCTCCCACACCCGGTGCAGTCCCAGCACAAAGCACCCGAGAGTTCAAACTGTTTCCCCGCTATTGTCCCCTCTCCACAGAGCCTGTTGTCTGGTGCCACGACTTTGCACCGACATCAGGTGTGTCCTGTGTGAGGGGTGTGGAGGTCTGTGGGGAGCCGGGAGTCCTCCGGGGGGTCAGATCACACTGCCTGGCTGGCCAGGCGGGCGGGGCCCTCCCGTGCTCTATTCCTGATTGTGTATCTCGCACTCTCTGGTCTTGGCCAGACTATCTCCCTTTCACCTTTTCCCTGCGCATGTGTCCTACAATGTTTCTCTGCAGATTCACAACGCTGTTCTGGGGGGTGGCGATCCACTCGTGTGCAGCCGTCCAAGTTCTTCACCCCCTTCTCTGGGAGCAGTGAGCAGGGAGGCCACAGCTACTGCACCATTTCTCCCACCCTAAACCTGTACTCATGCTATATTTATGTACTTATGCTTATTTGCATAAGTACTAGATTTAATTTAACAGTATATTTCAACCCAACACAAAATTTTAAATATGACTTAAATGCACTTACAAGTAAACATTTTTCTTGGATTCTATCTGCTCTGTTAATCCCGGCAGGATTATCCACATATCACTATTTACTTGGCTTATAAACCAAGCTGCAAATACAATTTTTTTTATCTTCCAAAGAGGGCATCACATGATCTACTAGAGATCTGGAAGAAAGTATGGGAATTTCTATCTCTGTTCTTATTTTGCATTTTTACAATTTCTATTTTTACATACACTTTATAAAAGACACCACCTTTTTATAGTTTGACAGATTTGTTATTTTAAAATAAATATTGAGGACATTTTAAAATTACATTTACTTACAGGGGTACATGTGCAAGAATGTTGGGGCTCCACTGTCTAAACCTGTGCTGTCCAGTAGAGACATAAGCCACATACATAATTTAAATCTCCTGGCAGCTGAATTAAAATAAAAAAGTAAAACTCTATATCCAATATATCCCAAATACCATTTAATATGTAAACAATATGCATTTATTAATGATATATTTTGCATCATTTAAAAAATATAATATATACATATATGAATTTTAGTAATCTTGGCAGTACAGTGTGTATTTTACACTTACAACACATATCTGCTTGGACCGACTACATTCCAAGTGCTCAGTGGCTACACGCAGCAAGAGGTTATATTCCTAGGCAGCTCAGTTCTTAAAACTACAGAAATAACTCCTCTTCCAGTTGGTTTGGTCTTGACTCTCCTTGCTGTTGTTTTCTTCCTGCCTATGGAATTTCATATCTTTTCCCCATTCCCATACCTGTCTCTGAACCTTTCACTGGGGCTACACACATGCAATTTAGCCACCTGGTCTCAGTGTTCCTGCCACACCCCATGTCTGTGCCCACCTGGGTTTTGAAGGCTGTCCACTGCAGCCTCCAGGAACACCACAGCTGCATTCAGGGTGCTGCCTTTGGGATGTTTCCATGGGCTCCAAATATTAAGGAAATACAGATAATTGGGTTAGAGCGGATGCATCTGTGATGTGGAAGTGAAGTCTGCCAGGTGGCCAGTTCCTCAGTTTGCCCCTGTGCTGTCCCCTCTAGAAGTGAATATCATTTTGGGAATGTTGGCAGTGATTGTGGCATTAACGATCATGGAATCTGTTCAAACTTTGGTTTCACAATAAAACAGAATGCTTTTCTTCCTAACCTCTAGGATACTATGAAATTTAATGATATTGTGATAAAGAGTTTAGAAAAGAAGTTCTAGGAAAAGGGGCTGGTAAACATTAGGATTATTTAAACCTGACAAGAAGAGCCGAAATAAAGTGTGGCAGATAGTTGATTCTTGGACATTTGCAGGGCTGATCATGTAGAGCGGATCTTTTCAAGCTTTTTTGTGGTGCCAAGGCATTCCTAGGAAAAGATGACAATGACGTGGCCCACAGGTTAATCAGGTGAGGCTGCTCAGCACTAGACTCTGCCCTAAGGCTGTGACACTCCTAGGTCCCACTCTGCCACCAAGGAGTCAGGGAGTCGACGGCTTATCACACTGAGACCTGTGCCTGGCTTGGGGGACTCACATACCTGTTATGAAATTGACGTAGAGGGCTGGGACTATCTGCATTTTAGGTAGGATTAGAAAAAGCGGGGACAATATAATGAATGAAAGATTAAAATAAAAGAGCAGGGAATGATTGATTTCTGGATTTGAAAATACTGGATTTATTTGTCAAAGGATGGGTGTGTGTGGAGCATGTCCCCAGTCTTTGTACAGTTTAACCTTCACCAACTTCAAAAAAATAGTGCTATAAATTTACCCCAAGGTCACTTGAAGTTATAATTATATACATTTATTTTATGCTTATTTCAGTTTTGAGGATGTTGAATAATGAATTATTGGCTTTAATGATTGAGTCAGCCTCTTGGTTGAAAACAGCAAAGGCTTACTTTAAAACAAAAAATGTACTACTCCACATTCATAAAACTAAGTAAGTGCAAAAGAGCTTTAGGTTTTATATCTGGGTTAGTGTAATGCAAAACATTCTGTAGATAACAAGGGTTTGAGGATATGTGTGACCCTGAGCATGTGAATGTCTGGTGCAAGCAGAAATTCCAGGTCCTATGTCGGACTTTCAAGGTCCAACTCAAGGGCTCCGCACAGAAACACGGGACTCAGGTAATACCTGGATTATGGAAGAAACACACAGAAAATTTCACCAAGGCCAACATGTGATATGGAGAAAGGGTGAGCTGGAAAATAGGGTGGCAGGGAGGGCAGAGGGCCCAGAGGGCCCAAGAGGACGGAGAGATCTGCTGGGCTGCAGGGTGGGGGAGGGGCTGTGCCACACCCCTCCCCTGTCCTCCCTCTGCCACTCAGAAACCCTTTGTGACGCTCCTGTGCTCTGTGACTCAGGCCTGGGACCAGAGCCCAGCGCGGCCCTCCAGGGCTCAGTGGCCACGCGGATAATGGAGTGTGCACTTCCTTTTCTGAAAGGCCGCATCGAGCTGTGGCTGAGCCTCACCTCCGATGCTTTGGGTGTGGAGCCCCAGGTCCTCCTCCTGAGTGCCCTGGGGTTGCTCTCCCTGTCCCTGCTCCTCCTGGTGACACGGCGGTCCTTCAGCTACGCGGGAGGCGAAAGAAGCCCCAAAGGTAAGGAGCACCCAGGAGGGATCCTTTGTTGCTGGTTCCTGTTTCCAGTCCAGGTTTCTAAAGGGCGCTGGTGGGCTTAGAGAGGACAGGACATCGCCCTTCCAGGGGACCAGGCTGGCCAGGGCCGGGTCAGGAGGAGGGGGTTTCCGTCGGGCTCACAGGCCGCCTATGGGGCGGTGCAGGCCCAGGGCACAGCCCCAAACACAGCGGTTCCTGGTCCTGGATTGGCACATTGAGAAAGTTGGGCTCTCTGGAGGAGAACAGTCTCTCCTGACACTTGATCGTCCCTTCCCCATGTCAAGTGCCACTCGACCACGCCTTCCTTCGTGCTGGGCTGACCAGCCGAGCAATGTCGAGATTCTCCGAGCTCTGCCCCAGGATCCAGGGTCCCCTGAGGGAGCAGACGCGACTGCTGGCTTCTCAGTCTGTGTCCTCCTTGGCTTAGGACCTCCGAGAACACCAAGCGGGGCTTCACAGACAAAACGCTCCCTTGAGTCTCTCAAAAAAGGAAACACTGGAATGTTTCATCACTTTTAGAAGTTGATAGTGGAACAAATTTCTATTAACTAACATGGGGAGTCCTATTGTTCGTGGATAACGAGTGTCTGAGCCTCCTAGAGAAGAGGAGGGAGAGAAGGGAGTGAGTCCCAGCCCCTTACCGGTTTCTGTTTGTCCTCAGCCTCAGGCCAAAGCCGGGAGGAGAAGGCAAGGTCGAACGTCGAAAGGTAAGTGCTCTCTATTCCACCTGAGCTCGAGGGGGCTTCCTGCTCCTTGCGTGAGGCCGCAGGTCCGGCGTCTGAGGGTGTCAGCTGCTAGGCGCAGTCTCTCCGGGAAAACAGAGCCCCCGGATTGAGGCGCTCACAGGGTGGCAGTGGGACCTGAGCCACCTCTCAGAGTCCCTGCTCTGCCCACCTGTGCGCAGGTGGCTGTGGCCCAGTCGCGGCCACGTGAGATGCCCAGGAAGGGCGTCTGAGGGGTTTGGCGTCAGCACTCCGTCTGCTGACTCTGTGCAAGTACCTTCCCTTCCTGGGTGCTCAGATTCCTCTTTGAGGTAACCACCAATGTCTGTGCTTCATGGGCTGGTTCTGTCACGGTGTGGGATGGTGTATGTGAAAGTTCTTTGTGATGAGGCCACATACACACGTGAACTTTGCAATATTACTGTTGACCATTTGACCTTGTCCCCGTTGACCCTGTCTGCGGATCAGAGTTTACTATCCAAGGGTCTCCCATAACGGGACTCTGTGTGATCCTGTGTGTAACCTGTCTCCTGGTTTCCCAGGTCGGCAGTTGTACCAGAGACGGGCCAAGGAGGAAAGGAGCCTGATTTCTTTCGTGACAAGGTGATGAATCTTCCCCCTTTTCCCTGGTCCTTTCAAAGCGTGTCGTAAGCATCTCAAGGGATTCAGTGCAGCTGCCGTAGTCCGGGAGCGTAGCCATGGCAACGGGCAAGTGAGCGAGGCCCTGGGAGAGGCTGGAGGGTGCATTGTGAGGTCGCGGGCGGGGGCAAGGTGGCGTAGCCGACCCGGCGAGGCAGGCCTTCCTTCCCGTGTCCTGGTCCTGGCTGCAGCTTCGAACCTCCTGTCTCCCGCAGCCCCTGGGCCAAGGATCGCGATCCCATGAGCTTTCGTCAACTCTTATGTCCAGACCCGCTCTGTAACATGTGCAATGACACTCCTGCTGAGATCCTGAAGGTGCTATTCCGGCCGTCCTGGAGGATGCCGCTCCTCCGTGTCATCCCGGTCTACCAGCTCCTCGCTGAGTCCTTATGCGCTTCCTCCTGCCCTCTCTGAAAGCCCCGGGAGACCAGACGCCAGCGCCCCGTCCGAGCCTTGTCCACCCCCTCCATCCTCCGCTCCCCTCCCTGGCTACTCCACCCGCACCCTGGGTGACGCTCCTCCTGTGCCTGCCTTGCATTCCAAATTCCCCGTACACAGTTCCCCACCCCAGCCACGTGCCAGTCCCCTTCTGCCACCACACCACACTGGGAGAGGATTCTCTTCTACAAACAGAGACCACGTTGTCTATAAAGACCATCTTTGCATTTGACCCCATCCTTCCTCCAAGATGTCAACTCCTTACGAAATTCACTCTGCGCGGATCCCACTGACTCCCACGCGCGTCATCACGCACTGCGCACCTGCGGGCTTCACCGCCAGAGCCACCTTAACTGTGCCTCTGTCTGAACCAGTGTCCAACTTAGTGAAGCCCCATCCGGAGAAATCCTCTCCAGACAGAGCTGATGAACCGGCCACGTGTGTGCCCACAATCAGAGCACTTCAAGCCTTGAACGTCACAGCTCTCCTGGTGGAGCACCTCATGTCCAAAGGACTTGTTCCTCCCCAACTTGTGCATGTGATTCCAGCAAGGGTTCCTGCCCCCCACCTTCCAAGGCCTCCTTTGTAAGAGACCATGAAGCCACCCTGTAGAACCTGGTAACTGCTCTTTTTTCAACCCTGATGTTCTGTCCTCCTTGGAGAGACAAGTTGAAAAGAGGAGGGATTTCCTGATGTGGAAGGAAAAGGAAAAGAAAACGGGGTCTCTTCCAAGGAAACTTAAGTCAGACCACCAAGTGAATTCCTCAGCAAACACATCAGCATCAGTTGCTGATGAGCATGACACGGCTGTGTCCCCTCATTTGGGGACCAGCAGAGACAAACCAGAGGAGCTGCAGGCGCATCAGCAGCACCTGCACCCTGAGACGATTGAGGCAGCCTCAGTGCAGTCCAGTCCCAGCATCCATCCCACTGCCCGTCCCATCACCTGCACCTCTGCCAGGCAGGCTCTGTGGGTGTGTGTTCACGAACCCCAGAATGAGGGACAAGGCCTCACGCCATCAGAGACTCAGCACCTGTAATGGAGTCTGCAGAAGAACAGGAGACTGTGTGGGTTTACCTCCTGTGGTCAAGAAATCTCAGCAAGACTTTTGTCCTCCAGCCCCAAGCTTACCCTGGTCGGCCAGTCCTCCAAGGCTGATGTTCCCGTCTCTGTCCTTCCTGGAGACTTTCCTCTCAGCAGTGAGCTGCGGAAGACACTAGAGCACCACCTTCGAAAGAGGCTCATCCAACACCGGTGGGGCCTGCCCCGCAGGGTCCGTGAGTCTCTGTCACTGCTGAATCCTCCCAGCGATGCTCCTGAGACGCCCAAGGCAAAGTGCACACTATGGACTCTCGTGGATCTCCTCCTTTAAAGGGCAAGAGCAGTGAGGGTCCAGAAAGTTTTAAACTAAGTCAATCAGGAAGTTTCCGTGACAGATGCTCAGAAATGCTCCCACTACGGAAGTCCATGAGGAAGGGTCAGGGACCAGCCTGGAGCATGGCCAAAAACATCATCCACTGAGTGCCCAGAGAGGTCTTCAGAATAAGGGTCTGGGCTCTCACTCTGTGGAAGGCCTAGAAAGTCACACGAGGACCTGTCAAGGATAATTCAAGGGCCTCAAGGGTGAGCCTCGGTCCGAAACAACTTGAAAATGCCCTGCCAGTGCCACTTAGCCAGGAATTTGAGGACAACAGTGGAGAGCCAGATTTCTGGGACTGTGCATATTTGTGGCATCCTACCAAGCACACAGAGCCTCTTCCTCAGAAATCTCACGGCCAAATACAACATGGAAATTTGGGCAGCGTCGGTCAGCGGGGACTCCTCAACCCCAGCAAGAAAGAGCGTTGGAAGCTCATATTAAAAGTTATCATATGAGAACTGCGTGGGTCTGCCACCAAGGTCCTCGAATCCAGGCAAATATTTGACTTGAAAAATGACACATTCAAGTCTTCTTCTATATCTAACTCTGCTCCTTCAGACAACCTTATTTCTGGGGTGGATTCCAAAGATGGAGTCTCCGGATCCTTAGAAGAAGATCTAGAGCTTTTAATTCAGCCCCAGCTGGATCATCTGCTCCCTGCCACCTCACCTGTGGGCAAAGGAGGACAGGGAGCCCTAAGACAGTCACCCCCTGATACCCACCGTGAGCTTACGAAGAACGTCCAGACGACTGCAGCCGGCAGACGGACTCTTCCATCCCCCACTGACAGCAGTGTAGACAAAGCGAGTCAGAAGCAGACTGTGCCCGCCAATAGACACACGCTGAAGCCCTCACAAGGCAAGCTGGGGCTGGACACGAGCCAATGGATGAGACAGTCCCTCCCAGCCATGGGGTAGAGTTTTGCACACTCAACAGGTCCGGGGAAATATTCAAGGCAGAGGAGCTCTGTGCTCTTCAATAACAATCTAGTAACAACTTAAACCATCAAGTCGGAAAGCTGCCCAGTAATAAATGTGTTCCATTTCACTTCGTTCTGTCTGACCTTTGTCATTTGTTTTCTTCTGCTGGCTTTGGGCTTGGTTTGCTCTTCCTTTTCTAGTTCCTTGAGATTGATATTAGGTTGTTATTTTGTGCTCTTTCTGACTTTTTGATGTAGGCATGTAAGGTATGAATGTTCCCCTTGGTAATGCTTTTGATGAATCCCCCAAATTTTGATAGCATGGGTCCCCTTTTTCATTGAGTTGAAGGGATCTTTTAATTTCCATCTCAATGTCATTATTGACTCAATAATCATGCATCAACAGGTTGTTTAATGTCCATGACTTTGTGTAGAATTGAGTATTTCTCGTGGAATTGATTTCTAGTTTTATTCCACGATGGTCAGAAAAGATACATGATATGATTTTGATTTTTTAAAATTTGTTGAGACATTCTGTGGCCTAAGATATGATCAATCTTGGAGAATGCCCCGTGTGCTGATGGCAGGAATGTCTTCAGTGGTTTTGCATAGGATGTCTGCAAATGTCTGAGGTGCATTTTTTAGGGCCCCCTTTAAGTCCAGTGTTTATTTTCTGCTTTGAGGATTTGTCTAGCTCGGTTATGAAGGTAAATCTGTTAGAAAGGTAAATGTCATGTTAAGTGCTTTTATCACAAAAAATTAAATCAAATAGATTTTCACAGAAGGGTTCATCAGAACGAGGCACTGAAGCGGTGGTAGACAGACCACCTCGCTGCAACTGGGCCAGCGACACATCTGGGCCGCGATGACATGATTCCCAGCCCCTCGCCCTCTGGCAGGGGGCCAGAGCCAGCCCCTCCCAGTCGGCCCCTCTGGGCCCAGGTGCCGGGGAGGCACTCGCACACGCCTGGGGCCCTGTGCTGCCCACGTGAAGAGCCACCTCCCCACAGTGCCTGCTCTACCAGGGACTGGGCTGTCCCAGGCAGCTCATGTCGGGTCCGGGGCCACAGGTCTCACAGTGGAACTTCAGGCAGAGGGAAGGAGCAAATATGAGAATAGAATTTACTCTGGCTTCCCGCCTGAGCCTGCAGGGGACGTTCCGTGTTCTGCCTGTGCTGTCCTCATGGATGTGACCCACATCTTTTGGGCTCCCACTCCCGGCCTGCACGGCAGCACCGTGCCCGGCCACGCGGGTCCTGGGCACTCTGCGAAGCACGCTGTGTGCCTGTGCGTCCGGCGCTCCAGCCTCCTCATGCGCGGTTCGTGTCTGGGCTCCCGCTCCGGGGCTGGCAGGATTCATTTTTCTTTTCTCACAAGAGCTATGGAGACCCAAGAAGACCAGATACTGTCCGCTAGGTGCCAGCCACATGCCAGACTAGGAACACCAGAGTGAATATGCCACCGTCTTTACTTCAAAGAGCTCCGAGTCTTGAAATGGGGACACACAGTGAAGCAGCCATCTCAATGTGGCCTTTGTCACCATCAGGACAGCCAGTGGGGTGCTCTAGCATCCCACACAGGCTTGCAGAGAAACCATTGCCACTACGTGCTGAGCTCCGCAACCGCTGTGCCTTGGAGCGGCCGCAGCTGCGTTGATGGGTGGGCTTCCCCAGCGGCAAAGGCAAGGGGCCTGGGCAGCCCCCACGGGTCCCCCTTTCCTGTCTATGGAAGTGGGCGGACTCGGTTGTCAGCTCCGGGGCCTAGTGTCCATTCTACACCAGCTTGTCCCCTCCCTTCCCTCCGCCCTGGCCCTCGCTGCGGGTGGCCTTCCTGCACCCAGGAACGGCACCAGCTCCGCACTGGAAGCAGACGCTGTGGTGGTGAGCACTGACGTCCAGGAGGGGCCAAGGACACACTTTCTTTCCCCACTGCTGAGGACCAACCAGCATCCAGTCATCTCCACCTCGCAGGCTGGTCTCTTTCCCTCCCTGTTCAAGGCTTTCTCTCTGAGAATAAGCTGTCATTCATAATGTTGTCTTCATGGTCCCCAAAAGTGCAGGGATGGGGTGGGCAGGAGCATGGGGTCATCTGTGCAGTCCCTGGCCTGCTGTTGGCCAGCCACTGCTGAGCTGGCCTGAGCCAGGGTGGTCACCAGGGCAGCTGTCACCAGCATGCATGGAACCTCGGTAGCGGGCCGCCCTGGTGGGGAGGGGCTCGCAGAGCTGGCTGGGAGGGGCCCAGGTACAGGACAGGAGGCTCACAGAGTGAAGCCTGGCCAGGGGCTGAGGGCTGCCGAGGGCGGGAGCTGGGAGAAGCCTCCGCAGGCTCTCGGGGGGAGAGAGGCCCCTGCCCAGCGCAAGGGCGTGGGGCCACCATGGCTGGCACAGGGGCTCATGAGCCTTCTCGGAAGGGAACAGGAGAAAATACAGCAGCAGTGCGCAGTCGGGCGGGGCCAGAGGAAGCTGGCAGGTCCAGGCAGGCCAGCCCAGCATCCCAGGCTCCAGAGCCCAACCCGGGCAGCTCTCAGGTGAGGAAACACTGTTAGCCCAGCCCTGAGGCCTACACCTCCACCTGTGCCACCCTCAGGGGAGGGACAGACGCCTGTGCTTCTCACCCGCCCTCCCAGCAGCCGGCCGTGGGCTGTCCTGGGCTGGCCCTACCACGGGGGCAGCTCTGCCCTTGCTCAGGGTGGTGTTGACGGGCGACTCGGGGACACCAAGCACCCTCACGCCGGGGGCACAGAACAGGGCCAGGGAGTGCTGGGCATTTGGGGAGGCAGGGCCAGTGGTGGGTACATCCCTCCCCACAACTCTGCTGTGCCGGGCACGGGAATGTCCGTAGGTCATGTGTTTCTACTAGTGACTTCACCAAACCACAGGAATTGAAGACAAGGACTCTGGGGGTCAAAGAGGTAAAGCAATTTTCCCAAGGTCCCAGAGAACTCACTCAGTCTGCCGAGGGACACAGACACTCTTGTGTCGTGCTGCGCTCAGCGGTGCTCTGGCAGGGCGGGAGGGCCATAGGGCACCTCCCCCGAGAGGGTGCTCGGCTGAGAGCTCGAGGGAGGGGGAGGGGCGTCGAACCCCCCAGTGCTCCGGCCCGAGAGGGAGAGAGAGGAGGGAGGTTGGGCGGAGTGATGCTACCTGCAGTCCCATCCTCTCCGAGAGGTCAGAGGTCAGGGCCCAGAGAGTGCGGGCGGGTGGGTGTGAACACTGGTGAAGAGAATGAGGTTTATGGTGGGGTGGGGGGTACCAGGCAGAAAATAGAAGTCCCAGGGGAGCAGGAAACCAGGTGACTGGCCAACACAAGCTGTAGTCTGGAAGAGTGAGCCTGGAGGTCCCGGAGCAAGGGGAGAGCCCCCAGATGAGCCTCCTCCGTGGTCCCCGCAGAGGTGGGCGCCTCGGGCCGGCAGACTTGACGGGCTCTGCAGGGCCGATGGGACTCCTGAGTCGGGAGGGGCTGCGAGGCCAGCAGGGCCAAGGCCTGGTGTTCCTAAGAGAAAGAAGCTGCCCCAGCACCCAGGGGAAGGGCCGGCAGGCGGTGCAGAGGGAGAGTGGGGCCTGGGAAAGCAGCTGGTGTGCTCCCAAATCCTCGCCTAAGGCCTTCTTCAATCATTCCACACACTGGTCATGGCCAGGGTCTGCGCTGGGCGCTGGCTGCAGAAGCAGGAAACTGCCTGCCCGCAGGGGGGCCTGGGGGAGTTGGCAGCCGTCCAGTACTCACGGTGGGGAAGTCACATCGCAGGCTTGCTGAGGCCACGCCTGCATGGGCTTCTGGGAGGAAGACACGGCCACGTCCTAGGGAGCTCGGAGGCCAGTGGTGACGGTCTGCAGGGGCTCCGGGAGTCTGGGAGAGGGACAGACAGGATTTCTGGGGCAGCCTTTGTGTGCTACTTTGTGAAGTCCTTTGAACCAATTTGTGGCTTGCATTTATAAGTCAAGAAAACTGAGTTTCAGTGTCTTGGCTTTTTACATGTCAACTTGCTTGGTTGCAGAGCCTGGATATGGAGTCAAAGATGACTGAATATTTCTGTGAAGTCGTTTTCTGGTTGTGGTTAGCATTTAAACAGGTAGACTTTGAATGAAGCAGATTTGATGCAGGTGGGCTTCGTCTAATCAGTTGAAGGACATAACTGAATAAAG